CCCACCATTCCTTACCAGAAACCTAACAAAGGCCGGGTAAAATATCGATCAATCACAGCTAAAAAAAGTCTGTATAAATACAGATTTACATGCAAACAATGAATCATGGAACCCTATATCAAAAATTAATGATGTATGGATATTGGGGAGGGTATGTGCTATGGTGAGTGCTGTGAAGTGTGTATACCTAGTGATTCACAGACCTATACCCCAGGGGCTAATAATACATTATATATTTATAAAAAATTAAAAAAAGATATTAAAAAATGTAATGATGTACTACTGTATAGTGACTAACATAACATGATAAAAATATATATAGATTTTCTCTAAGGAGGAACACATTGGAAAAACTAAAATCAAAAGGGAAGTAAAGAATGATAAAGAACAAATAAAAGCAACACCTTCTCGTACCTATAGCTACAACAAACAGCTCAACTTCCAGCTACCACAAAACTTTAGTTTGTAAAAAACTCATTATCTGCAAAGCACAATAACGTGAAGCTCAATAGAGGGAGGTATGCCTGTATATTGGTCTGTAATATCCTTTTCTTGTAATATATTTGGCTTTGGTAGCAGGGTAATGCTGGATTTATAGAATGAATAAGGAAGTGTTCCCTCCTCTTCAATTTTTGGAAAGAGTTGGAAAAGGATTGAACAATTTAATTTTTTTTAAAGAATTTTATTTATTTATTTGACAGAGATCACAAGTAGGCAGAGAGGCAGGCAGATAGAGAGGAAGGGAAGCAGGCTCCCTGCTGAGCAGAGAGCCCGATGTGGGGCTCGATCCCAGGACCCTGAAATCATGACCTGAGCCGAAGGCAGAGGCTTCTAACCCACTGAGGCGCCCCTGGGCAATTTAATTTTTAAGAGTATCAGATTCAGATTCAAATTAACGGTTACAAATCGCAGTTGTGCCACTTTCTAACTATAAGATCAATTACTAAATATCCCTAAGCTTTGGTTTCTCACCTAAAAATAAAAATTATCACATGTCCATCATTTGAAAAATACAAGAGATATTTATAAATTATTTAGTATTTTTTTGCGATTTCTTTAATTGCCCTATAATTGGTGATTGACTCTCAGAGTTTTATATGATTCATGTAACATGCAATTCAGAAATATACCAGTTATCATTTAACTTACCTCCATAACAAATCATTTGTTCATAATTTTTAAATTCCCGTCATAGGGAGCAGAGCCGAGGCCATATCCTCAATAGGTCTTCTCTAGCTGTCCTCTTCCATCCGAATAACTAAAATGAAAAAAAAAAAAAAAAAGTTTTTGTTGAATGCTTTCTCTATTTAAACACAATTTGAATATTAGCCAACCAAATATGCTTAACTGAGTTTTAAAATCATTCCTGTTTGAAATAATTTTTTAAAAGCATTTCTAACAAACAGGTATGTCTTCAATCATTTTATATACCTTCTTTTCCCGGAGTCTAGTTATTACACTCAGTCTTCTAGTATTTTATGACTAAGAATGCCTAGTGGATCTTAAAATACAAAATTTCAGATTTGTCTTGTGCCTATGTGAAGATGGAGAAAAGGAGAAGAAAAAAAGTATTGCAAAGCACATGGTATACTTACTGAGAAAATAGCCAATTTGTCTCAGGCTATAGAGCAATAAATACTACCCTCTTGCCTAGTATTCCTGTGTAGCTCTTTCTCCTCTCATTCTCTATCTGCTTTCTTGCAATGAGTGTCTTATGGCACAGCTTCCGGAAGGACAACTCAGAAAATCTCAGCTTTTAAATTACGTGCTGGCTTGGGCAGCTCTTGTCAATGTATCTTGGATTCTCTTTGCTACTTCTGTGATATATTAAGAAACAAAGAATTTTTGCTAATTCTTAACCCACTGATCTACCCAAGCATCTCTGATTTTTTGCTAATTTTTAATCCATCTTGCAGAGAATTATCTGAAATTTTTTTTGCAATGTATGTCTGAGGGAAATCTAATATTTGCACCATACATATCCACTGTTCTTGCTATATAGATATAGATCTATAGATCCAAATCATTTTGTTCCTCACATGAATCTCATTTCTCTGCCTCCCAGTTTTAGTTTCAATAATGACTAAGCACCCCAAATCACATAGTCCACGCACTTTACTATTAGGTGATTTGTGATTATATTTAGAGATTTGAACAATGAAAATTTTTCCTTTGGTCTCACCATTGTCCAGCTATTTGGCTGTAGAAATTTAGTTTCTGAGAATCTTTTTTTCCACATGGCTAAAAAGGACATTTAGCAATTGGACCAGTAACGAGGTCCTAAAGGCAGGGAGGGACAATTCTATACATAGGATTCTGCAATTCAGGGTAGAGTGCTAATAGGAGCATTTACCCCCATTCCAGGACTACTACTACTTTGGCATTTGAAATAGTTGAAAAGATCTTATCTTATTTAAACTGTCTGTTATGGGCCTTCTGAAGGAACAATCTCTCTACTCCCTTATCCTTCTCTGAGTCCATTTAAAACTAAATACTTTTTCATTCTCTCTTAATCTTGATTTCCCTGTGGTTTTATTCTCTAACCACTGCTCATTCTTTCTTACTTTTAAATCTTTGGGGGGGAAAAAATCAATCAATCCTTGGGCAATAAAATCCATGTCATTGTTTTAACAGTCACTTATATACTGATTATTAACATATCTGTGTTTGAAGCTCTGAACTCTTTCCTCAGTTTCAGAACTATATATTTATTTGTGTACATAGTTATTTAATTACCTACAGAAAACTCACACAAAGATATACAGAATTGAATTCTTCATCTTCTTATCCATCTTTATTTATAGTGTCAGTAAAATGTGCCATCATCTACTCAGTCATTAAAATCGGAAAAAAAAATAAAGAAAAAAGCCTAAATTGAGATAGATTGTGGAAACAGGCATATTCAGCAACTAAATGTAGTGATTAGTGATGCTGCATTGATTTAGCGCTATTAATTATGGCTATTAAAGACAGACAAACAAGCAGATATCCTTAAGTAACAGAAACTTTTTGTTTAGAGTATATATGTAGTATGGATGTTTTCCTAGAACATGTCACCAGAAGAAATACTTTCTGTTTTGGGTTTCTCACCCAGATTTTGTTTCATCATTATGAATTCCAATTATAGTATATATTGTAGTGTGTCTATTGGTATTTCAAGAGATAACTATATGATATGAGACTATTTAGTCCTTGGTCTGCTCATCTTTCTTTTACTTACATTAGATTTTTCAAAATTATAATTTTTTTCCTGTATTTTGTGTTGTAATAACCAACCACTTGCTACTTCCGTCCCTGACTGTATCTCTAAATTTCCCTCCTAATCTGATATAAGTGAGGGCTACAAGGGAAGATTTTATGAAGTATATACAAAGAAATAGCCGTGCCATTCATTGCAAGGGCTATAGAAATAAAATTCACCTGTTTTATTTTCAAAGCATCTTTCATTTATAGTTGTGCTCAAGACTGATGAGATTTTTAGAAAAAGAAAATTACAGCTAAGAGAATACTGCTTGAAATTTTTTTTCATTCTTGTTATAAAAAAATATGTGTTGGTATTGAGGCAGATAGAGACTCCTGGCTCGAGCCCCTTTCTGTCCCTGGTTCCCCTTTGCTCCTGCTAAGGCCAAGAAAAGGACCAATAGCCATCCCGTTTGACTAAGATAAGATAACAAGTCATTACTCCCGCAGAGACAGAAGAAAAAGACCAGAAGCCTGGTCCTGTTTGAATAAGAAAAGAAAGAGAAACAGGCCCCAAGGTGATTTAGCACTCTCCTGAGATGCCTCCACATAGATTATACTTCCACCTGAAGGGGCCATTTGGGCTTGAGAGACTGGGAAAGTGCTCCGGCCTTGAAAGACCCTGAAAACAGCCCGCTACCATCCCCCACTGTCTGTAACCATAAAAACTCACTCCTAACCCTGTCGGGTGCTCAGTCTTTGGGAACGATCCCACTGAGCCTGCTGGCGTTAATAAAGCTGTGTTCTCCCATCTCTCTGTGTGCCCTATGGGTTTCCTCCGTCACCTCAGATTTTCACAGCAGTATCTCTGGCCAGAGACATTTGCAGTTTAAAAGCTACATAAGCCTACCATTTTTGAAATTTATTTTGAAAAGATGAAAAAACCAGCAAAATCCTGGAATACTCTAAAAGGGAAATTAAGAAGTCCTCATAGTCTTGGTTCTCACATATCTGGAATTACATTCATTGCTTATGAACATTTCATCCTTGCAAGCAATGCAGACTAGCTGGGTTCCAGGACCCAGAGAGGGGTCCCACTGGATCAGCCAAAAGGGGTCCTTCACTTCATGCAGGGTAGAAATCAAACAGCCCAGAGAAAGTGAGAGCAGAGTTTACTAAGATACATAGAGAGTGCAGATACAGAGAGAGCTTCTGGAAGACACTTTCATTCTTTCATTCTGCAAAAACTAACAAAATACTTAATGTATGGAAAGGGCAACATTTAGGAAAGGGGATGCAGTGACTTACAGGAGAAAAGGAATATCTTTCCTCATGAGGATTATTTTTAGTGGGGATTTTCCAAAATGCTTCTAATATCACTGAATTCCAAATATAGCCACCACCCTACTTGCCAAAAATTCTTTCTCCTAAACTCCGAGGCAAAGCACTATGTGCACTGTTTACATTTGTAAGGTCTCTAAGTTATTCTTTCGAATTCCTTTCCCATTTCGATGGCAGTCCCCTTCATCAGTCTTAAATATTATGAACCTTTCCTCTAAAACGGAGGCTATATCTTAGTTCTATTTCTATTTATAGGGTCAATAGTAGTATTGACAGAGTAACAGAGTAAGTGTTCAGTGAAACTTTGTGTAATGGGAAATAAATGAGTACATGGTTATTTCTTCCCATGAGTGAGAACTTCTTATGAAGATGATGCTGTCTCCTTGTTACATTCTTCCCACTATAGGAATTTATGTGAAATGGCCCGTTAAACGTCTATGACCAAAGTCTCTCATGCCCTTTCTCTCTCTACCAAAGACCTACTGAGCCTGAATGTCTCTGATGCCGGCCCCACGTGACGCAAAGAAGCGTAACATCCTCAGCTGGATCTGCTTGGTCTTGATGGTGTAAACCAGTGGATTAAGCACTGGAGGTATGAGAAAGTGCAGATAGGAGAGCAGCACAGGGCTGGAAGGGGAAGCTTGCTCCCAAATCTGTGGATCATGGACAGGCCAATCATAGGTGTGTAGAAGAGCAGCACAGCACAGATGTGGGAGACACATGTGTTGAGGGCTTTGAGACGCTCAGCTTTGGATGCAATGTACAGCACTGTTTGGAGGATCAGCACGTAGGAGAGAACAATGAGCACCAAGTCCACCCCCAGTGTGGAGAGCACTACAAAGAGACCATAGGCGCTGTTGATGTGGGTGTCTGCACAGGCCAGCTTCATGACATCTGGGTGCAGGCAGTAGGAGTGGGAAAGCAGGCGATTCTGGCAGTAAGGCAATTTCTTCAGCATGATGGGGGCTGGGATTTGGAGCCCGAGGCTGAGCACCACACTGGCCAGGCCCAAGCTGGCTATACCGGGGCTCGTGAGAATGGTGCCATAGTGTAGGGGGTTGTTGATGGCCACAAAACGGTCCAAGGCCATGGTCAGCAGCACGGAGGACTCCATGATGGAGAAGGTGTGGAGGAAGAAGAGCTGGGCCAGGCACATATCCACTGACACCTGCCTGAGGCCCAGTTGTAGATGGGGAGCATGGTGGGCAGCGTGGAGGCAGACAGGCCCAGGTCAGTCACTGCCAGCATCGACAGCAGGTAGTACATGGGCTGGTGAAGGGAGGGCTCTGACTTCACCAGCCATAGGATCAATCTGTTCCCTGCCAGAGAGGCCCCATACATGGCACACAGAAGGATGGAGAGCCATTTGTGCACCACCTCAAGGCCTGGGAGGCCTGCTAGGAAGAAGAAGATACCAGTGTGGTTGGAATCTGACATGATGGGCAGATCTCCCAGCAGAAATGCAGCCACAGACCCTGGAATCAAAGGAGTTGCTGGGTCAGAATCTGTTCTACAAACCAAGACCTTTCACTGATTCCCCAAAGATTCCCCCAGGGTCATAGAGAAGGAGCCTTGAAACAAAGGTTAGTTTAAATTACTAAAGAAATGTTGCATTCAGGGGGAGCCTGGCTTGCCAGCCTCACAACAAAATTTTCACAGAATCAGAAGTTGAAAGGTGGATCTGGAAAGGGACCAAGATAGTGTTGGTCCTAACTCTTCACTCTACCTCCTGAGACATGAACTCTAGGTCCCTGATCTGGGAGCAGAGTGCAGGTTCCTCATTTCCTGTCATGTTCCCCTTCGCACTGCTTTTCAGTAGGTACTTCAGTGTGAATATCCAAATTTTGCAGACTGACATCTTTTATAATTAAAACAATATAAAATAATTCCTTCTTACAAGTCAGCCCACCTGTGTGAGCACCCAGATACAATCTTATCATCCATATGGCTTAAAATGTTAACCTGTGGCAAAAATTTTAAATACTATTCCAAATACGATTCATTCTCCAGTTGAGCTGTACGTGTGGAACATAAAATAGAATGATTCAACTCGTAGAAGATTAAACAGTTACCGTGTACCTTATCTGTCATTATTCAGCATTATTCAGCGTTATATTGATGAATATACAAAATCAGAAAAAGTTCTGAAGGAATCAAAACTTAGATACACTTATAAAGTGATCTCTGGAAAAAAAAAAATGCAATGATCTGGAACTACATCTTGGGTCTTTCTTGTGTTCTCTCCCTTGAACTTTGGCTCCTGTTTCACTTCCTGCCATTTCAGCTTTCTCCCCAGAGTTAACCCATTAAACATTCCATCTTTCGAGAACCCAGTCAAAGCACTGTCTGAAAACTTCCCGCCTTCCCACCTAACCATAAGTAAAGGAGGGAGATTTCTGGAGTTTCCCAGGAGTACAAAACTGAAGAACAATAACCAACAAGGCAGCTTAATTTTTAGGAAACTTTCTTAACTGTCTCTTCAGAGTTTTGTTTTGTTTTGCCAATGATACCGATTTTCTCTTCATTTTATCACCTTTTCTCTCCTATGTCTTGGAAAATATTCCAGTATTCCTCTTTCTTTGAAAAGTAGCTCCACATAAAGATGAATTCTGTCGCTTTTTCTTCTGCAGGTAAAAATATACAAGTATAATTTCTTCCTTTCATATTTCATTTAAAGTATTTTTCAACATATTTCAAAACACTTTCAGATGTTTGATTTTAAAGCATCTGGATCCTTGGATGTTAGCAGATCCTTTTTTTCCAGATTAAGAAACTTAATCCTTAAGAATTCAACTATATAACTTTACTAAAATCATGTCGATTATAAAGGACGATCTAGGACCGGAAATAATATTTGACTAAGTATCTTTTACTCTTGGTATTGTCACTTGATGGTAAACACAAAGGCCAGCTATTAATAAACAAATCAAGACATTCACAATCCTTATCCTTACAGCTAAGTAAATGAAAGTTTAAGTTTAAAAATTTCCGGTATGATGGCCATTTCTGGTTTTCCTCTTGTAATCCACTTTGTTTCCTCCAGATTAAATGTCCTAATTTCCACTCAGTAATTAAACTGTCTAAGTCACTGTTTTAGACACAAGATATAAATATGATCCCAATAATAAGGAAAGCATGAATCAATATTTCAAATATGTGAATAAATTAAAACGATATGGGAAGAGAAAGGTACATGATTTTCAATTCAGAGTTTAGGTGACAGCTCTCTGAGGAGGGGAGAATTGGAGACAGGCAAAACAGAAAGGAGATTTGTGCATGTCTTGGTGAGTGAGTTCTGATTAGTAGGGAAAGTATGGAGGAACATCAAGAAAAACCTAAAGTTGTTAGCATACAGGATAGCTAAGAGATAGGTATCCATTCAAGCTGGTGTTGTGATAAATAAAAGAAGATAAAAGACACAACCTTCCAGAACCAACACAATTACTTAAGAGAACTACGTTTCACTTGACCAGGGTGGGGAGGTACTGTCTTCTGTGCTGAGTATGTATCCAGTGGCTCTGACAGTGTGGCCTGGCTGGTGGCATCATTGGCACATGACAGATGGTAATAAATACAGATTATTAGGTTTCAGCCCCAACATACTGAATCAGGATTTCTTGAGTTGAAGCCCAGTGTCCAGTGTTTTAACAAACCCTGTGGGTGACTCTGACGCAGACAGAGGCCTGAGAATCACGGAGGTCCGTCTTTAGGTATAGTATTGTTTTGCAAGCAGATGAGTGCAGTGCTATGGGAAAAGCAAGAAGTAGGAGAGAAGCAGAGGTTATGAGTTAACAGGAAAGGGACACCCTTAGACAAAGAAAGAAACCTTGCTCCTGAGGGCTCAACTCTGAGAAGGGGCCCGTAAGGATGCTGGGTCACAGACACAGATTCTTTGATATGATCTTACCATAAATCATTTAAGACCAAAAAAGCACATGGCAATTATAACAAATAAAGATACTATTTTTTGCCTTATAATTTATTTGAAAAGTACTAAATTATTAATAAGAAAATCTATCGTCTGTTAACTGCTGCTGCTATAGGAAACTGGACAAGCTGTTCTACTTGACCCCTCTATATACGGATTCATGAATTTCTAGTCAGTTACTGGGAGATGGTGCAAACTTGAAGTAAGATGGAGAAATGTTTGAGGACACTGACTGGGAAGAATTGTGTATTCAAATGGAGAGTTTGAATGCCATCTATGAATCCTTTACCTGACATTCATGCTGCATTGTTTCTTCAAAATTAGAAAAAAAATGTGTAACATTTCTTTAGTACACTGGAAGTTCCGTCCTTTCTCCCTTAGATTCCAAACGTGGAGATATAAACATAATGAATGGGCTTAGTCTGAGCATATTCAGAATTTCTGACATTATTTCACTTAGCATTTGAGAAAATGGACTTATGAGAAAAGGCACTCGGGTGCTCAGATATGTGGAGCATATTGCTTTTGTGTATTGCATGAAGCTGACTATGCAGAAGAGGAAGAGTTTTGTGAGTTTGTGTGTGTGCGTATGATGGTTTTTCTTAATTTTTAAGAAAGCCCTATGGAGTGAAGGGATTTTGTGATAAGGAACAGAAGGACATAGGTGAAAAGGCTGGGTACCTGTTTCTGGTCCTGGCTTTGGCACAAAACCCTGGAAAACAAGACAAACAACCAAACATACAACTTGGGCCAGCTTGGGCTTAAGCAACAGCACCCACGGCCCATGCTTGCCGAGTAATATCACTCTCCTCCTCTTCTTTCAGCACTGAATATCATTCTTTTAGAGGTTCCACTAGAGTACAAATGCTGTCTGTCTTCCTAGAGGCTTGCCCTAGTTTTCAGGGGGCTGTTTGTGCCTTTCACGGAGAAAACTCCTTCCTTATTTGAAGGTGTTTCAAGGTTTGAAAAATGGAAAGGGAAACTGTGGTGAGAGTACAGGGTACAGATGCATAAGCTAGATTAATTTTAATACCAGAAAATGGGTTCTAAAGAAAACTAGATAAAGATAATTATATTTAATGGTTCCTTGGAAGTTAGAAAATCAAATACAAGAATGTTAATACTGACTGAACTCTGATGCCACCAAATATATCTTTTTCATGAGGGCACTCATGGATGACCATGGGACAGATAAAAGATCCCAACTGGGATCGACATTCTTCTCTCCACAACTCACTTTTTTTTTTTTTAATTAAAGATTTTACTTATTTATCCCAGGGAGAGAAAGAGAGAGAGTGAGCAGGTGAAAGAGCAGAGGGAGAGGGACAAGCAGACTCTGAACTGAGCATGAAGCCTGACATGGGGCTTGATGCCAGGACCCTGAGATTGTGATCCTGGCTGAAACCAAGAGTCTTAACTAATTGAGTCCCCACAACTCACTTTTCTAAAGAATGATCTTGGTTTTGTCTCTATCTGTTTTCATCTTGTTTCATTTTTCCCTCCCATCCCCTATGATCTGCTGTCTTGTTTCTCAAATTCCTCATATCAGTAAGAGACTTTTAATCTCAGGAAACAAACTGCAAGTTGCTGGAGGGGAGGGGATGGGAGAGATAGGGTGGCTGGGTGATGGACATTGGGGAGGGTATGTGCCATGGTGAGTGCTGTGAATTGTGTAAGACTGATGAATCACAGACCTGTACCCCTGAAACAAATAATACATTATATATTAATGTTTTAAAAAATGATCTTGGGTAACTTCAAAGTCAATTATTAAAGAAAGGAATACAGTGTGAAATCTGAGTACATAGAGTTCAAAAGAAACTTGAGCACATACATGAAGCTCACATTGAATGACGATTTTCTTAACTAACATCTTAGGAAAATTCTCCTAACAATGGAGGTTTTAACATGTTCTCCCTTTTTGTACACTAATTATAATACTGTCCTCTAAAGTCATGAAGAATACCTACACTCCCCTTTCAACAGACTAACCATCTAAGAAAAATCCAGAGAAGAAATTCTGTGAAGAGTGAAAACCATGTCAGAATCAAAGCAACATGGTAATTGAACAGTAAATCAATATTGACAATTAGTATAGGATGGGTTGTTGAGGAAGAAAAAGTGATAACCACCTACAAGAAAGGCAAAAGGCAGAGGCTGTCCTATCAGGTTTGAGAAAGGATCTGCAATAGGCAGGGGAGGACTGGATTTTCTGTGTTTATACCTGTGGAGAGGTGAGGGTGGGTGAGTACCAGTCATCATCTTTGCTGCTCTAATAAAAACTCTCTGAACTTTAATTATAGAGAGTGAGGTATGCAATGCATACACTTTGTATCCATCAATTTACCTCAACAAGTTTTACCTATAGGCTGTTAACCACAGCATATTTTCAAAAGAAAGGAAAAGCACCACCCCCTAATAATACACTAAAATTCTCATAAATGCAGAGACGTAATCATCATTAATCAAAATAAAACATCTGCAATTCAGCATTAATATTCCTGGGAAA